GATCGCTCAATGTCATGGATTGATTGAATTTAGATATTAACAACACTGATTGCTGGGTCAGTTGTCTAGACGTTGAACGTTCGTGAACGAGATCGAAGGTATTGGGTTCGATCCCCTTAGGTGTGGGGGGTTATGGATGCCTACTGTTGAAGAGTCCTATATTAGAACGAAACGGTTATCTAGTGCTCACAGTGGTGCTCCAACTTAAATCAGTTCATGATTTCAATGAAATTCAACCATCTCCACAACCCCATTCTGATAGTTCAGTTGGGTTATGTTTGTTTTTTAACCAACTCATCACTTGTTTTTAATATTCATTGTTACTTGAAGTAAATCATCATAAATTCATTCAATTCATTAGCCAAGTTCAAATTTATCTACTTGGATTTTAGTCAATATTTGTGTGATAGATGATGTCCATAATTCTTAGATATAAACAATACTTCAATGATAATTACGTTTACTGAAGACATTACATAAGTGAAACACAATTTATTGTTTGGTATATCATTCTTCACTTTATAATGCATATAACTATTGAAATATTTGTATCCAGGACGCGCGTTTCGTCCTATTTGGGACTCGTCAGTTGGATGTACCTGCATCTCAGAGTTGATATTCACTCTGAGACTCGAACCTAGTACCATTCGCTTCAAACGCCATCGCTTTATCCACTTATCTACTGAGTCTTGGTATTCACTAACTTGTGCAATGGTGTGAAGTTTAAATTCATTTTGTATTGTTTGTTTAAATCTTCCCATTGACCAGTTGCAGTCTTAAACATCAATGGGAAGATTCAATCAAACAATAATAAATGAAGTATTGAAATATTTGTTGTTACCATGGTCATTTTGAAGCTACAGATATGTACCTATATGATCATTGCATAAAACGTACTTTGTATTTTTTTGATCATCTATTTTGTTTTTAGATTCCGGTATCAGTGAAGTCTGCTGTGTATGTTTAGATTATTTTTCAACTCATCTTTTTAAACTTGTCCAACGTGAACAACGTTCAAGTCGTACAACTAATAATAATAATTATAATAATAATTCATTATATCTAATTGATGTGAATAATTCGAATTTAGTCAATGGAGACAATCATGATGGTAATAGTAATGATAATAATAATACCAATCACTTGTTAGCACCACATATATTATTAGATCAAGGAGGTGCATCCAATCATGCTGTATGGTCTACACGTGCTACATCAGCATCATCAAATCTATTAAATTTATTAATGCCAACAACATCAAATTCTCAAAGTTTAGAAATGATTTCAGGTGTAAATCTACTACGACGTATACTTATTACATTACTTAGTTCAGTAATACAAGAAGAATGTCGTTGTCAATGGTCTATGTCTAGACCGTTATTACCATTAATTTTATTGAATCAACAAGTATGTAATAGTTCATTTAATTTAATTCCTGATCTTTATTTATTATTTATTTAAACACATAAATATTGGTACAAGGAAGCACCAGATACATATGCGCTGCACAAATCTCATTTGATTTGTGTGAGGGCTGTGATACTGCCCAGGTGCCCAAACTGAAGCAGGTGGTTTTCTTAGAAGGCCACACCTCGAGCCTTTGACCTGAAGGCCTAGTCCACAAGGCAGTGGAGCATCGTGAGCAGATGCAGTCCCATGGTAGCCAGTGACCAACGATTGGTTCATACGCCATTTGTTCCCTCAGGATACTGGAACCTATGTGCACCATTGGTTTGGAATCAGGGTTTTCCAACTCCCCTAGGTGAACTCGCCGTATCCACCAACCCGGTTCAAGCGCCGGACATTCGCTTTTCGTCCTCACAATTTCGTGAACAACAACCCCGCCACTGTGAGAAGGCAGTGAGTAGGACTTCCCTGGTAGAGGCTATATACGCGTGGCCATGTGAGATCATTTGAAGATGGAAAACGGACTCTCCCCACTCTTGGCCGTATCAGGGCATTTGGGGGCCTTCCTGATCTATATTTTTCCTACCTATTAATTGTTGTTGCGATTATCTCTTGTAACCAGTAGATCTTTACAATTCAATTTAAGTCAATGAATTTGAAACAAATTATCATCCAGTGAATAATATTTGTACTTATTAGACTATTTCATTCATGCCTGTACAACTATGGAGATGATACCTCTTTGAGATAGCAAAATAAACAAGTTGCACAACTATTTGTCGATCGGTTTGATCTTTTCTCTGCAGTTCGACTCCTCTTGAACACTATTGAGACGCTAGTTTGCTTAGGACGAAAAATGAAAGATTTTACTTTTTGTACGATTTACTTGCTTTATATTAAATAACCAACGAGGAACTAATCTACCATGAGTCAACACAACTCATATCAAGAACGCACAGTTCACCTGATTAGCTGTAACGGACAGTGTCCGAAAAATGATACTGACATTACGGTGTGTTAGTTGTTAACCCCCCCCCAAACTGACTACTTGAGCGAGAGTGCAATAGCGAGTCAGAGAGTATATTGGGCTACCGAGTAAAATGCACAAATACTCATTTTTATATATACCACTCTAACCCCTAGGAAATTGATCTCTTTCTTAGCCAATGAAATGCACTTGCCCTTTATGTCATTTCTGATTGCAGTCCCATAGTAGCTGGTAACCAACAGTAGGTTCATACTTCATTTGTTCTCTCAGTATCCTGGAGCCCATGTGCACCATTGGTTTGTAATCAGTGTTTTCCAACTCTCTTAAGTAAATCCTCCACACCCACTAACGCGGTTAAAGAACCAGACATTCACATTTCGCCCTCTCAATTTCATAAACAAAACCTCCGATAAGGTAGTGAGTAGTACTTCCCCGTCAATGGCTGTATACGCGCAGCCATGTGCGAGCATTTGGAGAGCTGACTCTCTCCACTCTCGACCGTACTACACAATCCGGAAACAATCATTGTCCACTTCCGCCTACGCAATGAGTAGTTAAGGTTAGCTGTTTGAGTTTTTATGACGAACCGACATCATCTATAATGCAATAATCCGTATATCATATCCTGATTCCTAACATAATAAGTCATTTGAGTACATTTGCCATTTCCTGATTTGCAAAATCGGTTAACGCCCCATGATCGTTCGGCTGTATACTCTGGATTTACTCTTTAAGTTAAAAATACTGATTCTGTTATAATAACATCCAATAGTTCTGTCCTACCTATTGTTGATGTAATTCATTATGTTGTGTCCTAGAAGGCTAACCCATATCACGTGCTGAAGTCAGTAATCAGAACTTTAATTTTGTCTATTTCATGTCTACTACTTCAAATATGGCCTACTGTCCCAGGATTGATCAGTGATATGCTTGAACAGCACTTTCTGACATTGAATCGAAGCAACTAAACCCCTAATGCTCTGTTGCTCGCACGTTTTCCTTTATAGCCCTGCCTTGAGTCCGAAAAGTCATCAGCCAGTTGCTATTATTATATTTCAAACATATAGGGTTTATATACAAACATAATGGACTGCATCTCACCGTAATACGAAAAATCACATACACAAAGTCAAAAGTGGCTGTGAACAATCGATTAGCAATAAAATAAGAATCATAAGCAGTGTGGCCACAGTTAAATAGGCTAAACAGCTTATTTCGCAAACCAGTTTCAAGCTCTCTAATATTTACAGCATTCGTTCCGCTTTAACACACTGATTACACATTTGTCTCATTTCATTATTTAGTACTATTTGTTTAAAACGTTTCCTACTATATCCCTCCTCCATATTTTTTCGTAGTACTATACTGAATTAAAAAATCGTGTGATTAAAGAACTACCAGAAGAAAGACAAGAGTCTGCTACCAAACTATTTGATAAATTAATGGAAGACGTTGAATGTAACTTGACTGTTAAGAATCGTGACACGTAAGTTTAGCGTGAATATTAAAGTTCTACACGCGTCTTTCCAAATGAAATACTACTTACTAGATATTATTACCGAGGTTTGACTTGATAATTTGGAACAAATTGAGCATTGGGTAGATTATTTTGTCAGATGGTTTGGTTGTAAGTCAGGAGACTAATGATCAACAGCTAGCAGTTACAGTATCTCGCATCGCTGCAGCTGCTGGTTGTCTGAAGGCAACACCTTACTGCTGTCACACATCTCTAGAGTCAGCAGTACGACTTCGGAACCTATGTTTTGGTTGTAAATCGTGCCGTTTTCTAAACGACTGGACTGACGTGGTGGGACCTAAAGGAGCATGTGTGCCGCTGTCGGGTAAGCTTTTGAATGCTTCACTATTGTAAACCTACTCCAGAAGCGCTCGAAACACTTTTCTAAACACAGCTCGTAGAGCTGGAAGCTACTTACATGCAACGAGAGGCTGGACAGACAGACCGAAAGGCTTGTCGATGAACTGTCCTACCAACTATTCGTAGTGAAGATCAATCTCCATCCAAAGCATTGACACAGTTGTATCCCTCACACCTTAAACGCGGTTCAGTAATTCTTTGTGCCACCAAAGTCCGTTCACATTGTTCCAGAATCCTGTGGTTCTAGTTTATTCACTTTCCCTCTCATTTAGTAGCCAGATATGCACCATCTTCTCCTGACAAATATAACCGTATTTTGGAACTTTCCGACTAATCCTCGAGGCTAATAGTCACCCTTTAGGCCTATTCGGGTTACATTTTAAAGTAAGCATAACAACACTAAAAGGTTTCTCATTCTCATCGTCTCAATCTGAAGCAACATGTTATGACAATGTCATATGAAAATATATTTCCTATGATGGCAAATTATAGGTTGGACTTATCATAGATAAACTTATTTTTAACGCTAGTTATTAATGTTGACTTTATAAATTTTTTACACACCTAAAATAAAAATTGACAGCATGTTCAATGTGTCAATAAACTCTACTGATTTTTATTTCAGGTTTACTCAGAACTTATCTACCTTCAAGCATAGCTTGAGCGACTTCCTCAAAAAGACGAGTGCAAAACCTGATGACACATTTAGTCAAACAGAAGGCAACAATTACGAGACATATCTTTGTTTAGGTAGTGCGATAGCACAAGCAGGCGAACAGTTGCTGAATGCGTAGGAACTCAAGATAAACTATTTTGTACAATATTTTGTAATTATTGAAATAAATAAATTGTTTAACGTCAAATGCAATGATTTTAACAATTGTAGCTACGTTGGGGTGGTTTTTCTCAAACTATTCTTTGCAATAATTTTGGAATTCATCCAGAAATCTTAGATATAACTTGTGCTCTTCTGAGGTACAGAAGTTTTGCAATTCTTGTTGAAAGTCGGCGTTTAGTCCTCGTTCTACTAGTAATTGCATTGTATGATTATACATATCCTAAGATAAAGAAAAAGAGTTATTAAGCTAGTCAAACGATATTAAACATTACTACTGAGTGCTACTTACGTCATCGAATAGATCAGTATATACGAAATAGCCTGGGATGCGTTCCACTTCAACTGAATCCACGGAATAAGTGGCTGTAAAGAGAAGAATCGTAATAGACTATAGAGCGATTATTATCGAGACGTTTACCTGGACGACGCAAAAATCGCCTTTGTTCCATATGCGCAATCTCAAGTTTCTACGGATGCCGTGAGCAAGTAGTCTGAGTTTTTATAAATCAATAGGACAATTTTAATTAATAAGATCACAGCTACTTTCCATTCACTTGTGGTTCGTCAGTAGGCTTACAGAAAATTATGACGGATTCAAACATCCACATTATTAGGACTACTAAACGACAGCGGCTTACCGGCGACAAAAGCAAAAATTCCCTACTGGGTAGATGATCGCACAATAATACCAAAGTAAGTGGGGAGTAACTCGCTATCAATTACTGACAAGCTTATTCACGCAAACAGTTAGTTAGCTGTAAAGGTGATGTTGGTGTGATGGGAATTCGCATATTCGATGTGATTTAGTAGGCGAATTCCTTAAATTGGGCAAAGCTTACTTTTATCCCAGATAGCATAACTAGATGTAACAAAAGTAAGCTATCTTAAGTGTGCTGAGCGTCATACACATAACTAAATCACTCGTCTCGAACACAACCTTACGAAAACTAGATTTTACTAGTGTCAAGCCAAAAGCAAGTTTGAAGTCCGACTACCTAGAAATACTAATGATGTTTAAGACAAGTTTTCCGAACGCCTTCACAACAAACTCTAGCTAGCTCTTATGAAGCCAATTACAGGTCTTGGGTGACGAGCATACCAGGCCTAGCTTATAGAACAGAAATATCGTCTTGCAAACGTTGTAGACTGAACAAATCACAACGGAGTTTTCATGGCCATAATTGCAACTTAGACTTGATACAAAAATTTACAAAGCACTAAATACACAAAAACCACTTACGAAGATTATTTGACTCATCTTCAGAAAGTTGTTTATCAGCGTCGTGACCTGGGAGACTGCAGTTGAAAACCAGACTTCGACCACTAGGTTTTGTGAGTTTGATACGCAAATCAGGATGTGCTTCTAAGGGGGCATCATCCTCCATCTTTTCTGGAGCACTCACATCATCCTCAGGAATGCTAGGAGAAACACTACCAGCCAAATTAATCTCTACATCGACAGAACTAAATCTAATATATTTGAGATAAACAGTGCTTACACTCCATCTTGATATTCTTTGCGTATAACGATATCACATCCATCGGTTTTTACTACTTTGAACCCTTCAGGAGGGTTGCAGAAGAAAGCGTTTGCCTTTTCTTGTTTGATCTCATTGGTCAAAAACTGGTTGAGCTGACGGTCAACTGGAGAACATACGTATACACAACCAAAAATCTTACCTTGAGATGAAGAGAACCAAGTCGAAGTAGTAAGATGTTTAGTAGTACTTGGTTTACTTAAAACCTGGGTTCCTTTGTTTGCAAATGTCAAGCGAGCACCGAGCAACACACGAGCAACAAGTCTAGACATTTCACGCCGCAATTGGAACCTTAACAGAAATCCTTAACCCTGATTCACTAAAACGTGCCCACAAGCTCAACTTTCCAACGTTCGATCATTTTCAGTTTCTAGAGGAAAAGGAACTTGAATAAACTGTGTTAGTCCAGAAAATAGAGTTTTCTCAGTTGATTCAAATTTTTTTTAGATGAGTTTGCAGATGATGTTTCAACTGAACGCGCGCTTTTCGAATGAAAGTTTAGTCCTATCGTGATTTACATTTCTCAAACTTTTGCTGTGTTCTCACACAACAAAAGTATAATTTCCGATCTAAAGAATCTATTCTGAGCTATACGTTCGGTAGATTATTTTTTTGTGTTTCACTCAACTTAATAGTTAACTGTGGTTTTGCCTCAGCTCACTACCGGTTTTTTTATAGTTTTCACGTAAATGCTAGTTTTCACCTTATCGTTAACCGTTTTTATCCACTTTTGCCAGTTTTTGTGTACTGTGTGTTTTTTAACGGCCCTAAACTTACTGCTTGTATTTTTAAGACAGTCTGTATCATTAGCCATGAAAACTTCACGCAAAAGACCTGGTTGCCGTTTCGCTGTTACATCTGGCATGCAATGTGACAACTGCAAAGGCTGGTTCCACGAAGCGTGTACAGATCCAACAGCAACAACCCATAGCAGACTCAGCAATTCTGATCGTACGTGGGTATGTATTACATGCAGCACTGATACCGTAGTTATGCTGGGTACCATAATTACTTTACTAACAGGTCCGAGAGACAAGTTGTCTAAAAGTTTGGTAAATGACAGTAACACGACGCGTAACAAAACTGGAATGCACAGGGCAGACAAGAAAAGGGATATCAACAGGTCGGCTATCGACGGTGCAGGTGAAAACACGGGTGATGACGTGCTGAAACTCAGCACCATCTTGACATCGACGGTGATCGACTCCCTCAGTAAACTTGGGTCCCCCAGGAAGAGTCCTTGAATGAAACAATGGTTCTCAAAAACGCTGTGGGTGGTTGGACACACGTTAACAGGAGTAAAAAGGATCAAGCGTCACCGCCGAAGTTGAACATCCCAAGTACCGTGGTGACTTGACCGCACAGTCTACCCTCAAGACTGTCTGCCCGGTCAACACAGAGCCCATGAATCGAAAAACGCGCTTCGACATCCAAACAACAAGGTACCAAACCTAGAAGCCTTGAAAAACCTGGGAAACCAATTACTGTCATAATCATGAATCTTATCGACAACCCCGACCTTCCTCTCATTATGCAGGACAAAAACGAGAGGATGCTCTGGGGATAGTTGAACAAGAAGCTTGAACTCCCTAGAACAGAGCCTTTGACGGTCACATGGCTTACTCGGAAAAAGAACTCTAACCACCAAAACCACACGAGGCTGCTTCGTGTTACACTTAGGAATGCTTCCGACGTAGAGGACGTCCTGCTAGCGATTACTTACTTACGCCTGTTACCCCTCGTCGAGGAGCATAGGCCGCACACCAGCATTCTCCATCCAACTCTGTCCTGAGCCTTCCTTTCCAGTTCTTCCCAGTTAACATTCATCCTCTACATATCTGCTTCTATTTCCCGACATAATGTGTTCTTTGGCCTTCCACTTTTCCACTTCCCTTCCGGATTCCAAGTTAGGGATTGCCTCATGATGCAGTTTGGTGATTTCCTTAATGTATGTCCGATCCACTTCCAACGTTTTTCTCTTCAGTTGGAAGCTGGTTTTTCCTCCCCCATAAAACGCTGTTGCTGATAGTATCCGGCCATTGGATGTTGAGTATTTCGCGTAAACAACTGTTTATAAACACTTATGCCTTCTTGACGATGGATGTAGTAGTTCTCCACGTTTCAGCTTCGTACAGTAGGACTGTCTTGTCGTTCGTATTGAAGATTCTGATTTTGAAACTACTTGACAGTTGTTTTTTGAGCTCCATATGTTCTTCAATTGTAGAAATGCTGTCTTTGTTTTACCAATCCTCGTATTTACGTCTTCATGCGATCCTCCTTGTTCATCAATGATGCTTCTCAGGTACGTGAATGTTTCCACCTCTTCCAGAGTTTCGCCAGCAAGTGTGATTGGGTTGGTGTTCTCCGTGTTATATTTGAGAATCTTGCTTTTTCCTTTGTGAATGTGGAGGCCTATCGATGCAGAGGCTGCTGCTACATTTGCGGTCTTCATCTGTATTTGTTCGTGTGTATGAGAAAGGAGGGCTAGGTCATCTGCAAAGTCCAAATCATCTAATCGATTTTGAGAAGTCCATTGTATTCCGTATTTCCCCTCAGATGTCGAAGTCTTCATAATCCAGTCAATCACTAGAAGGAAGAGGAATGGGGAGAGTAGACAGCCTTGTCTGACTCCGGTCCTAAACTGGAAGTGCATCTGTCAGCTGTCCTCCATGCACCACTTTGCACTGTAGTCCATCGTATGAGTTTTGGATAATGTTGACGATCTTCTGAGGAACTCCATAGTGTCGAAGAAGTTTCCATAATGTTCTCCTGTCCACGCAGTCAAACGCCTTCTCATAGTCAATGGAGTTGACGTATAGTGATGAGTTCCACTCAACTGATTGTTCAACGATGATCCGTAGTGTTGCAATCTGGTCTGTGCACGATCTATCCTTACGGAATCCAGCCTGTTGATCTCAAAGTTGGACGTCTACTGCGCCTTTCATCCGACTCAGCAGCACTCTATTGAAAACTTTTCCTGGTATTGATAACAAACTGATGCCTCTGTAATTCTCACATTTGCTCAGATCTCCTTTCTTTGGTATCTTGATGGGATATCCTTCTTTCCAGTCCATTGGCACTTGTTCTTCCACCCAAATCTTCTTGAATAGAAGGTGAAGCATGTTTGCAGTCACTTCAGTATCTGACTTTAATGCTTCAGCTGGTACATTGCCAGGTCCCGCCGCCTTCCCACTTTTGATTTGTCTGATGGCCATCTTGACTTCTTCGATAGTTGGTGGAGTGACATCTATAGGAGGGTCAGTGTGGGCTGGTTCGATATCAGGTGGATTCAATGGGGCTGGTCTATTCAGCAGTTCCTCGAAGTATTCTGCCCATCATTTCCCCTGATCTTGAATCTCCGTGATTGTCTTTCCTTCTTTGTCCTTGACTGGTCTCTCTTGTTTACTATATCTCCGCCTGTAGCTCTTCTAGAGTTACTGCCGGTCCCAAGCCCGGGTAAAGGAAGAGGGTTGGGCATGGTGTTAGCGACCCCATCCCGTAGAAAAGCTAATTCGCTAAAAAACGCTAACCTGCTAGCTAGTCACTTACTGAAATCCGATGAGAACGTAAGAATACTGCCCGACATATCGTATTCTGAACGAAATCTCATCCGGAACATCCCTAAGGAATCTCGCGAGGCGTTTTGTGCAAGGTGTGCCGGAAAATATGGACCCAACTGAAGCAAACCCTGGCATTCGGGAATGGAAATTCATTAAGCATTCCTTAAAACTCAAAAACATACTGACCCGAAAGGTGATGCGACTAGCCAAGAAAAACGGAGACTCTAGACCTTGGCTACTGAACATAACCTTCTCCTCCTCCCATATGGCGGCTGCAATTCTGGAAGCATCTCGTGCCAACAGACATCGGTTGCCAACTGACATCCATATGCATCCGGATAGGCCGCACGACAGCAGGATCAAGCGCAAACGAAAGCTGGAGCTGACAATTCCACTCGTGGACAACCTCCGATCATCAAGAACCGCACTCGTCGTTTGCTAAGCCGCAGAAGGTACTTTTGGGCCGAATATAAACGAACTGACAATAACGACGCATACAGGCAATACAAACATATAAGGAACATATGCTCAAAGGCAATAAGAGAAGAAAGGCTTCAGTACCAGACGAAGCCTATCAATAAATTTGTCTCCAATCCGAAAAGCTTATTCCGTTATGCAGCTTCTCTTCGACAAGGCAAAACTGGAGTTTCCCAACTGCTTGATCCTAATGGCCCGACCAATAACGACAGTGATGCCGCTAACCTTTTGGCTGAACAATACTCCCGGACATTCCAGTTGACCCACATCAACTATACTGACGAAAGCTTCACCTGCACCTCTACAGGACTTTCCGAAGTGGACCTGAGTGCTGACCTGGTGCACTGTAAACTGCAGCATCAAAGAACAGACACTTCCCCTGGTCCGGATATGGTTCATTCTGCCAAATTGAAGCAGCTTCAATCCTTGCATCACCATTTAGCGTGATGTTTTCACACTCGCTAAGCCGAGGCAAACTACCGGAAATTTGGGAGCTGGCCCACATCACACCAATTTTCAAAGGTGGTCGACGCAGTGAACCCTCAAGCTACCGACCAGTGGCCCTTCTCTCCATACGTTAAAAAATTCTGGAATCTCTAGTATACGACGGTATACAAGAATACTTATTATCCTTAAAGTTCTCACCTCGACAGCACGGTTGCAGAAAGGGTCATTCTTGTATGACCAACCTGCTGACTGCGGTGGATCGATGGACAACCATCCTTGATCTCAATGGGAAGGTTGACGTTATTTACTTGAGTTCTCAAAAACTTTTGATAGAATCAACCACATATGTCTTATCAAGAAGCTTAGACTATTGGGTATCAGACACCCTTTGATTGACTGTCTCACTTCATATCTAGAAAACCGACATTTTAAGTTAGGGTTAACTTCACTCTCTCTCAGGCCATGGAACGTCCTAGTGGGGTCCTTCAGGGCTCAATACTAGGATCTCTTCTCTTCTTGATTTACATTAATGATCTTCCTCAGCAAGTTTCATCTGACTTATTGCTTTTTGCTGATGATGTGAAACTTTGGAGAGAGATACGTAACCATAAGGATATACTAGCCCTTCAGGAGGATCTGACTCGACTTCGAAGTTGGGCAGACGACAACGGACTTACCTTCAACACTTCAAAGTGCAAGGTAGTCCGTCTGCGACATGTTCCAAACTGTGGTTACAACTTAGGTAACTCCTCTCTAGAAGTATCCAAAGTCGAAATAGATTTAGGAGTGTTGGTACACTACGGCTTGAAGTCGTACGCGAACCGTACC